TTGGCGGGGCCCCGGCCGGCCCTGGCCACGGGGGGGGGCTGCGCCTTGCCGGGGGCGGCTGAGTGTGACAGGCCGTGGGCCGCAGGCCTGGCACGGCCCCTCGCCTTCCTCCTGAGGGCAGACCTCTCCCGCTGCCCGCCACCGTGCCCTGGGCGTGGAGCCCGTCCCACTGAGGGGGACGTGGAGGGAGACCGTGAGGAAGGGCACAGGGCAGCCCCTCTCCCGGGCTCCTTCCCCAGGCAGGACCCACGCACTCATCAGTGACTGGTGTCCGCCTGCTCCCCAGGCAGTCCCTACGTGGGCCTACGCCCTTTCGCTTTGCCTTTTTTAAGGAAAAACCAGACTGTGGGAGTTGTGGGGGCTCTCAGCCACAGCGGGTTGTCTGGGTGGCCTCGGCCTCTCGACCAGCTGCCATGTAGCTCCCCCGGTGCGGGCACCAGGCGGGCACTGATGTACCGTAGCACTGCTACCCATCTCCTCTTCGCATCGCTTCTCGACAGAGGCCTGGCCTTACCGATAACGAGGTTGATGCGAGATTTCCTTCTTTGAAAGTTGCTCCTTCCCCGGATGGCAGCGTGTTCGCCTCTCTTTGGAAAAGCAAAGTGAGATTGCCCCCTTTCTTCTAAAGGTGTTAGACATGCCGCGCTCCCCCTGGCACATTGGTGTTGTGCACGTCTTTTTCCCATCACAAACCCATTCATCTCCAGGTACCAGGAACCTCTCAGAAGCCTGGTACTGCTTTATTTTCCCTACCCATTGGACCTACTAAGAAAAAAACACTTTTGCATGCCTTTTGCTTTGTTATGCATAATGATTCTGCAAATTACAAAGGGTTTTTTTCTCCCCTGGTCTGTACCAAGAAATGGGTCTCTGATGATTGCTTGAGGATGGAAAAAGCTGTATCCATTTACTGAATGGCTGCTGCAGTCTGAGATTTGCCTAGGGTGTTCCTTTGATGTGATTATGGAGACACAGAGAGGATGGATCTTCACTGGTGCTTTTGCCTGTGTTCAGGTCCCCATTAATCTGGTTTTAGCTGCAGCCATAGTAGTGTTACCTGTTTTTAGCACGCTTTCCACCTCTTTCCCAGGCTGCTGTCTTTTATGCCTCACAGCCTGACTCTTATCCAGACCCTTCTTACAGCTTTTGTAGCACAATTGTTCAAAAACCCTCTAAACCAACTTTTTTTCCTTTATTTTGATAGAGACTCTAAATTCCCCTAGCAAGAATTGCTCTACACATTCAAGCTAATTTTTTTTCTTCTTTTTCCCCCCAGATCTCATCCTACTGTTCCTGGCTTATGTCTCCATTGATTATGTCACTCACAGTAATTCTTTTGTATCTCCAGCCTTCCCCCTTCTAAAGTCTACAGGCTTCTGAGTGATGCTGCTAGCAAGTGGAAAATTCAAGGAGTTTGGCTTGGCCTGTGTAGGGAGATGACAAGTATTTCTCATGTGTATTGAATGGGAAGAGAGTTAAAAGACAATGGTATTGGTATGTTCTTACGCTCTATCTACATTGTAGATGAGGGAAATAAGTAAGAAAGGAATGGGAACGCATTTAGCAGAGCCATACTAGTAATGGATGTGTCTCAGAGGGGTTTAAGAAGCAGCCAGACCAAGGCAGGAAGCCCATCTGAAGTCCATGGTCCCTTCAAATTCTCCATTTTGAGGCTCACCTCAGAAGCCAAAAAGGATCTGTCCAACTTTGAACTGGAAGAAGCTATGCTTGCCCCTACCAGCTGCAGCTCTGCTCTCCTTCCCCCTCAGCTTACTGTAAACGGCACAGCTTATAAAAGTGACTGCTTAAAGGCTAAGCTATGAGACGCATGCTACAGCTTTTATATGTAGAGCACTGACCACTCTTTGGCACTTTACTTTTTTAAAACAGGCTATTCTTCACAAATTGCAGAAGTGAATCCAAGTTCAGATTCCTTCACAATCCCCCAATGAGATACTAAATCCCCAGATACACACATGCAGACACGCACTCTGCATTCAGTTCTGCCATGGGGAAAATGTACCTCAAAAATACGTTGTCTCTTGTGAGCCCAGTGCACGTTTCTGCTTGGGGACTACCGCTGGGTCACTGAATCAAGGGAAACAGACACAACCCTATTTGAGGAGGAGCCTCCTGTAACTACAGCAATACAGGGCCATTTTGTTTTGGAAGCTTGAAACCGTAACCCTTTCCAGCGTTTACTTTTATTGACACAATGGGCCAAATTCAGAGTGAAATAAAAAACGGTGACAGGAGGATTGAGTTGAGTGGAAGTTGCTTGCTGATGGAAGGGTTTTTAACACATGCATTAGGGGGGGGTGGAATTATCTTAAAGCACTAAACATTGTAAATAAAAAAGCATTCAAGTTACTCCTCTGTTAAAAAGAGTAAAGTCAATAGAAGTGTCCTGCGCCCCCCGAGTCATATCAAGATGTAGCATTTAGAAACCATTTCACAAAGTTAAACATTTATTAGGAACAAGAACTATTACAAAAAGATACCCATAGTCTAAATATATACATGAGGTTTAAACATAGCATTTTCATGTACCTTTAGCTATAAAAATACATTAGATTAACTGTATCCTAATTTATAAATATAGTTCTTTTAAAAAAAAAAAAGTAGTATTTCATATGAAAGCCTTACTGTGCAATGAAAGAATATATACCCTCTAAGGGGTTATTTTAAAGTTAGTGTCTAGTGTTATATAACTTAGAAAATTCAGTGTGTAGAGTCAAACCCTGATTTATACAATAAGAGATACACTGACTTTTTAAAAACTTGATAAGGGAAAAAAAGAGGTGAAATATATATCATACATATAAAGCCAGAATACTAGGATTTTAAGAATTTCAGATGATTTCAGTTTCAACCACTGTTAATAAAAAAATTCATACAGAGATACATCAAGATAACCAGCCTTTTACTGTTTGCCTTATCTCCCTACTGTCTGACTGCAGCCCTAGAAAACTGTCAAGTAGGCAAAAGTAAAATGTTTGTCTGAGAAGATGTTTGCACTCTTAAGTGTTTTATAAAAATAGAAACTTATTTACAATGTTCCCATTTGGCCTTTCATGGGGAAGGGAGGACATTTTCTTCACTGGATGGGGAGATTTACCTGTCTCACATACCCATGGGAGGACAGGTACCTGGTTATACACAACTGTTGGAGGTATGTAATTTAAGAAGTTAAGCAGTGTTGAAGTGCAATTTCAACGTTCACGAACTAATAAGGAAGTTTAGGCTCATGCAAACTTTTTCCTTACTTACCGCCACCCACCTTCCTTCCTCCTCCAAAAAAAGGTCCACTCATGCAACAGAACTTGTTGACTGGGTATATCTCTGAGCAAATGAAGGTGCTGGTTAAATCCTTGCTTGCATCACAGAATAGAGGTTAGACCTGCATTTCTGCTTCAAGCCCTGGCATCTGGAAAACTCCAGGCAGCAATCTTTACCAGTGCCGTACAGGGATCTGTCGATATGCCATAAGGAACCTCTATCAGTTTGGTCTCAGAGGACAATCCCAGCGAGATCAGCTAAACTTCGTAACAAGCTGACACCACTAACACCTGCATACTTAGAGCTCCTGCAGGCATGGATCTTCCCATACATTTGCCAGTGGTTCTCCGGTACAGAATCAGGAGGAGGAGGAGGGAAAGTAGTGAACCCAGGAACTGAAGACAGCATGTGGCTTGTCATTAATCTCAGAGTAATGTCTGGGCATGCAAAGAAGTTACTGCAGGAGATACTAAGGCATGAACTTGGTGTGACAGCCACTCCATGGATGCTATTCATGTACTTGCATGCTTATACAACTGTAAGCAAGAGACAATTCAAGGCAGTTTATTTCTCAGTGAAGGATCAGCTACTCTGTGCTTGCCATAAGATGACAGCACTCAGGAGGACAATTACTGCAAAGCTGCTGATACACTTAAGTCCAGCCATAGCTTATTCCATGGTAACTGGTTTGTACACCCACATCTTTAGCACTCAGTGTGTGCTTGGGAGCACCTGCCTTTTCATACTGTACTTCCAGAAATTTATTTTAAGCTACATTCATATGGGGTAAAGAAGCAGTGAGAAAAGCTTATAAGTTTTACTCTCACAATAATAGCTCTGGCTCAAAAAATAAAGAGATGTTCACAAAGCCTGAAAGTTATAGAGAAAGAGCAGGACAGCTTCCTGCAGCTCTTCTGCTCCCTCTCCCAGATCAGAAGGACTGGTGTGGGATGTTTTCTGTGGGTTATCTACCATGCTACATGCTTAGCATTCAACTCGGTGTCATCACGGTAAGTACAGTGCAAAATCCTCTTGCAAAAAGTGCTATAGTGAAGGTTTGAGATACAATTGTGACTCGTTCAGAGCCAGAAGGGTTAGCAAGTCAGTAACTTGCATTTGCAGCATGTGTAATGTGTGCACACCAAAACATCAGGTTCCAAGGACACTTTAAAGTCTAGCTTTGTTGGGTGAAATACTGGCCCCAAAGGAGTCCTCTAGGAAACTCCCAGGAATCTCATTCCAGGCTAGAATATCACCAATATGGAGAATGCATGTATCTTTAGAGAGACCAAGATAGCTCTTTCAAAGATAATTTCTTTACAGATCCTCCCATGAAAGCTTGCACTCCCATTCCAAACTCCAGCTCCAATCTTCACACAGACTCCACCAACTTCAGTCAAGTTGTATTAACCCTACCACTCAAGTCCATTTATGCCAAGTGAAACCTATATGTCTCTGAAGGTGTTTTAACAGTCCGTGATAATGGTACCAGAAGTCTCTCTAACATGCCATTGATGTCCACGTCCTTCATGGGTACAGTTTGAAAGCAGATGTCCTGCAAACACTGTGACTGACCAGCATTTTAGTCACAGGGAGCAGACAGATGTACAGCCAGGGACTTGTACAGTACAAGTGTGTGCTATGCTGCCAGTAGGGTCAGTTAAATCAGTTTTCAAAGAGCCAGTTGACAAAATGGAGTCCAGTAGATTCAGTGTTTCTAGAGGAATAAAGTTAGGTGTTTCCATTTTCTTCCTACCCCTCCCCTCCCCCTTGCTCTGAACACGTCCCCCATGTGTCACATTCAGAGTGTCAGCATTTTAGGCCTTCTGTTTTCATGGACTCTTCTGGGAGAGTTTAATGGTGACTGTTTTCACTTCGGTGTATTCTGCCAAAGCATATTCACCACTGGAAGAGAGAGGAGGGAAAGGGACAAACAACTGTAGCATGTTAATGTGTACTTCTCTAAGATAAGAGATTTCTACACAAGTGCATTTTAGCCACTGATCAAGAGCTGCTATAGATGACATCAGGCCATTAAAACCAGATCTGAACTAATTACACCAGCTATCAATTTGGCCCACCACTTCTAATAATTGCTAAATACATGCACATAAATACACACAACTACACCCTATTGTAAAAGAAACATGGAATGCTTCTGGTCACAGTAACCCACAGGATAACAATTTGTGAGACTCTGCCTAGTGAAAACTGAGTACTACTGTGAGAACCCATAGAAGAAACATCCATGTAAACATATTTATCAGTGCTTAGATAGCAATTTAAGTTACTTTTTCACTGAAAGTGAGCTTCCATCTACAAGATACCATATAATCAAGAGGACATAGTTGCTCCAGAAATGCATACTGATGACGGACCCCACCACTGCATCATGTCTTGGTTGGTGGAAACAGGCTCTATTCCCATGACTTGCCCAAGGGATAAACCCCTGACATCCTTTAATTAGCCAGGCGGTCAAGCAAAGTAAACCATAAGGTCTCAATATATGTGTCTCATTTGAGGATTCATTAATTTGCTGTGCTTAGCCAGTGAGGCATCTGAATGTCTCAGAGCAGCAGATGCACCAGAACAGCTACTGGAAATGGTTCCTGGAAATAAATCTGGCTTATGAAAGAAGAGTTGCATTAGATTCCTCCGAAGGATCTTCCGAATGGTGTAATAAAACCTGCCTCTCTCCTATACAAGAAGACAATTAAGATTTAAGTCAATTTCTCAGCTCTACCTCTAACTAATAGGGTGACCTTGGTTTAAAAATTTCTGTGTTAGTAACTAACTAGAGCTGGAATCCCCCGTAGCCATGCTGCAACAGGTCAGGCTGGGGAAAAGGCACAGAGGATCTTTCTGTAATTTAGTAGCAAGCTTGGAAGGTGGGAGGTAGAATGATTTTGGAGATCTTTCCTTGTTGTTCTAGCTCCAGCATTAGAAAGTCAGAGGTGGGAAGAGGTCCAACTAGGACCAATGCTACAGCAGTCAAGGGAGGCCCACATACCACCATCTAAAGATGGAGGAGGTTTGGGGTGGATACCAGTGTCCCCAGCTAAGGTGCCATACTTCTCCCTTGATCTAAAAATCTAACTAGTAAGGAAAAATGCTTGCAAGTGGAATTGACTGAACTAGAGTTATTAAGAGCTTATAAAGCAGATGAAAGTACTCCTGAAGGCACTGGACACGTTCTCACATCTGTGCTTTACCTCCATGCTGTACTGGCTTAGCACCTCCCTGTGCAGCATACTGCAAGCCTCATAGTTTAAAAGCAAATTCAACAATATTTTCACAGTCACAATTGTTATTGCATTCACCATCCACATTTAAACAAAACTTACAGTTCTCTGCCATTGCCTGACATTTTAAAGCCACCAAAAGGAGCCTGTGCATAGAGCGCATTGTAACAGTTGATCCTACAATAAAGATATCAGTTGTAAAAAGACAATTCAATACCAAGGAGAAGCAAGATGATGACAACAATGACAATACAAAAAAGGCTGAAATCTGTCAGTTTTCTCTTTACACAGTTCGTTCACCTGAGAAATCAGATTTTAGCAATAAAATCTTATTTTGCTACAGAAACAGAAAACATTTGAGTGGTACTCAGTCTGACCTACACTCACTTCATAGTCTCTAATGGCTAAGACATTCATGCTTCAGCTGGAATTTATGCTATGTTCAGAGCCATGCTTAAAATAAATAGACCAACCTATTCCCTAGTTTAATAAAGCACATCCTGAAATGAACATGTTTACTCAGAAAGCTGTCTAAACACTCACAAGCAGACTGCACTATCCACTTCTAGGTATAATAAAAAGTTGGACTGCATTAGACATTTGTGCCACAGTAAAATGAAAGCACTAGTCCCATTTCTATAGACATTAGGTAGAAAAAGCTAATGCAAATACTTCTTCAGCATCTCAATAAGATCAAATGACTGAAGAGAGACAGGTATGGCTTGGTGCTGTAGGGCTGCACCTTAATGCATGCACAGCACATGTATCCTTCAAAGCCCAATATCCCATTTTAATGTAAATATTACTCAGAGGCAGATTCTTCTGGTGCCAATTCTTGAAATCAATCCTCTGTATGCATCAAAATCAGACATCAGATCAAACTCCTACCTTGAGTGGGAAAAAAAAATCAGGATTCCATCTTTAAAATGATTCTAATATAGAATAAGAAATTTTGTGAGCAAAAATAGCTACTTATCTTTCTGACAGTGGTGTGGTGCCATCTACTGTCCATATTGATCTGTGCATCTAAGACCCCATCTCATGCTACTTAAAGATCATAAGAATTGGTTTTTTCTACATACAGGATTTTGAAAGCCATCGTGTCTGGTGGAACTTACTACAACCCCTACATTTTCAGAGTTTTCCAGATGAAGAACTACATCGATTAAACAAACAAACAGCCCATTTCTCGCCAGACCGTCTGGTCCTCACCACCTTCTTTTGATGAATGGGTGTTGCTTCTGAGAAGAATATCAAGAATTAAGCAGACTACTAATACATCTTACCTCCAGCACTTACACATGATTCCAAATCATACATCCCTCTCCCCTCCCAGGAAACAAAATCCCAGCCCACACTCTGGTCCCACACTGCTTACCAGACAGTTCCTGATTGCAATGCAGAAGCTAGTGTCAATGCTCTGTCCAGATTCTTTGTGAACACTGCAGCCGTAAGTCCATACTCAGTACTGTTGGCTCTTCTTATGACCTCTTCTATACTCTTGAACTTCATAATTGGCTGAACTGGCCCAAAAATCTGCACATATCAATTAAACATTAGTACAGGAAAGCCTTTGCTAATCATGGTAATTTGGGAGTAATTAGAATCAGATGCTTTGTTTGGATACTATATTTAAAAATGTTATATCATAGCCTTCTAGAAGTCACTGATAGAGTTTCTTAAAAACTACTCATTAAACTGACTTCAAAGGAAGTACAGTGATGTGCTCTAGTAGTTAATATAAGCTAAGATCCAACAACTAACAGATCATCTGTAACAATCAAAATAAGCAGAGTTAGGTCTGGACAAGTTTCAAATGATTCATCCTTACTCCATTTACAACTCCCCTTTTGAACTCAGAAGTTGAGTATGTTCAAGAAGTAATTAATATATTTCAAGGATTGCAAGTTTTTTTCCTTGGTTTTAACTCTCATTTTGTCATTGTATGCAGTTTATTTGCATGCAGTGCATTTACCACATATGTGTTTGACCACAAACTTGGCTTCCCAGGTTGCCAGTATAAAGGCAGCAGGCATACACAATAATTCCCAACTTGTGGGATGGAGTGTCTCATCAAATACAGTATCAAAGGTGGGGCCCTTTTCTGGCCTGCATGGTCCTGCAGTACAAGAAACCCCCACCAAAGGTGAGATACAGTCTCACTTGTGCCACCCTGAGGGTCAGGCTAAGCCGTTTGCCTGGCTTGTAGGCTCATACAAGTGTAAGTGTTTGTAAATGTCTTCGTTTGGGGAGATCGGGTACTTAACTGGAGCCTTGATCTTGAGCAGAGAATGAATGTGCATTTGCAACAAAACTGCAAATCAATGAAACTGGATAAGCTTCATGAATCACGACTTGGGATTTGGAGCCAGTTCATTAAAAAAAGGCCTGTCACGGGATTTTCAGCTCTTATTCCCTCTATTTTTAGAATGTAACTCATGCCGAGACTGACTGATATCTTTCCCAGGTTCCTTAGAGATTCTGCGGCAGATCTGAGACATCTAAACATTTTGCCAGGAGTGAACAGTAAGCAGCCCCATAAAAAGCACTAGGCTAAACTATAAAATACAAGTGCCAGTTAGACTTTGGCAACTACTTATTTTTCCATTGGGGAACATGATGAAAAGTAGATTAACTTCTATTTCAAAGGAATATCATAGGACCTAATGACATGCAGCTTGTTCAATTTTTCTGCATATGAATAATGAAAGCCAGAGTATTAGATCTGCACTTTGCTGGTTTCAACCTTGTTTTCATATAGGAAAAAAATGGTCAGCCTCAGGGGATTTCACCATGAGAACAGAATCTGGGATTATTTCAGACGCTAATGCTACTTGAGAAAAGTTCTTCAGTGGCAGTATAGCAGGGCCATTCCTTCCCTCCTCACCAGCTTCAGGTCCCAGAGTTCTTGTCCTACCTTTCTGCAAAAAAGCAATTCCTTTTTTACTAAGTAGTGGAGCAAGAACACACGTTGTACTGTCCTCTCTCACTTTGAATCAGAATGTACCACAGCCGAGCAATTTTAAGTCCACTCATTAGGAGGTGCATAAGAGCACACAGCACGCACAACCATCTGTCTGTGTAGAGTGGGAGAGCTTAACTCTGTCTTCAGAAAACCTTCGAACTTCAGGGCAAAGAATACGTAGAATTGCTCCAGCCTGCCACAGTTTTGGTTATTTTTATTCAGCTATTTATATTTAAAATCAAAGATTCCGACAGAAACCCCTCCATCACCACTATTTCTTATTCAGAAACAGCATTTATAGCAGCTGTAACTACGTAAGGCACATGCTTGTATTTTGCATTATATCAAGTTCTCCTGAAATGAGACCTAAAAGCTTTAGGGTAGTATTGTCCACTACGTTTTTATCTGGGTTCGTTATTGTCCAGGGAGTATACAGGTTTTTTGCCTGTTCTGCTCTCCCCCTTCTCCTCTCACTTAAAATTGAAGCTCACCTTGCAGGTACTTCATTAGTAGAATGGATTTCAACATTAGGCAGTTATTAGGACACTGAAATAAGTGAAACTGCTATTCTCCTCTCAAGTTTTCACTTCAAACCACAACGATACCGCTTTTCTTTCCCATTTACAATAGTAAATGCATATAAAGGTTCAGGTGACTTGTACTGTACCTCTTCTTTGGCGATACGCATGTTGTCAGTGACTTCCGAAAACACAGTGGGTTTTATAAACAGGCCTCTGTCTTCAATGGCAAGACCCCCACACTCCAGCTTAGCTCCTTCTTTCTTCCCACTTTCTATCAGCTCCAGGATTTTATCAAACTGTTTTTGATCAATCTGTCAGACACAAAAGGAAAAGAAAGAGACAGCAGCGCCTTTACTATCACTGTTCCAGAGACAGGAGTCATGGTATGTGGCCCAGGGGCACATTTGCAGGGCACGGTCAGACCAGGTTAAGTTTACATCTCATTCTATGATATGGCAGTCAGGCAATAAGCAGGCTGAAAGACAGGATGACAGCATAGCCCTGAGCCACAGAAAACAGAAGGTGAAGTTACATGTGAGAGTTTAATCTGATCTAATAGTTTGCTGCCACATGGAGGGGGTCTCCCCACTTTCCCTTCCTCCGCATCCTGAATATGCACTCCCACGGCTCACCTCACTCCAGGTCTGGGACTTACTGACCTTCTCCACGCATTGATTTAGCGCAGGAGCACCATGAGAACAGCCTGAGGTGGGTTTTGCTGGGCTAGCAACCTCAGTCAGCTCAGCAAGGGATCTGACCAGCAACAGAATCAGTGCAAGAGAGGGAGAATCAGAGTATATAAACTATCAAGTCAACTTTGCTGTAATGTGCAGCTTTTCCCACAGCTCTCTGTCCTCAACTGGAAGAACCCAGCGAGCTCTGCCTCCATCTCTTTCCACACATGCACACTATATGAACAGCCTGAAAGATAAGAACTTCAGAACAACTGATGTACTGAAGCCATACTGTAAAAATCAGAATAACCTTTCATGAATCTTAGAGACTAATACCATCCCAGCATTCTATGGTTCTCTGGACTGGGAGCCATATCCTCACTTTTAACTACCAACCTTGTCTAACTCCTCCCCACCCACACCTAAATATGCAGTAATCTCAAATAGCGAGTACTGTTGTGTTACTAGCCTTTAAACTAGGGGTTTCAGTAGAGGTGGGGAAAGGCCAGCCCAGTTACAGGACACTGAAGTAGCACAGCTGTGCAGCCCTCCACCAGGACTTGGAGGAGACATCACATACTCCACAGGCACAGTGGGTCATGTGCTGGGAAAAGGTGCAGAAGCCCGCAGCACTTCTGAACAGTACTGATCCTTCTTTTGTGTTCCACATGCAGCAGTGTACTGCAGGTATTGTCAGGTTTCAAATAAACAGATGTGGCTGTTTGCATGATGCATAATTAAGCAATGAAACACCTCATCACAGCACGCTGCAGATGGTAAAAGACATGGAGATGTTTAAAAAACAGCAAAACTAACAAAAACCTCAACAAACTCATTGAGGTGATTAGATAAAAGACTCCACCCACTGGTTCAAGGTGCCCTGGCAGCCCAGGAGGTTATTCTGAATGCCGGGTATCTCCAGATGCTTGTACTGTTCAATAGCCCTCCCTAGGCATCTGTTTTTATTTCAGCAGGGCCAGTTGCCAGTTGGGACTGTTTACATGGAGTGTTCCACACTCGACTCCGCCAGATTACAGACTATATCCTGTCCCTAGTTAATCCTGGCCACACGCAATCCAAGTTTTCATGCTTTTAGGCAAATATCAAAGCTTCAGGAGGGTGTCCTTGGGGTACTTCTGGTACACACTGAAAACAGAGAACAGCACATCTCCTGCCACACAGATGTGTGTATCACATGCACTGTGTACAGCTTGTACTAAGTGCTTATGTTCTCTCATGCGTTCAGATGCTACACAAGAAAACACTTGATACATGCTACTGCGTGAGGAAATGTGTGCCCTCTTGTAGGATATAGTGTCACACAGTAAGTTTGGCAGGTGTCATACATATTGTCTATTTGTCTGGTTGCTTAGTTGCCAAATGTAAATAATTTGAAAATATCTGCAAGTGCTTTCCATCCTGGCATGTCTGTGATCCAGACCAATCCAGTTCATCCACTTCACATCACAGAAAACAAAACAAGGATATTTATACAGCTGTAACTTGTTGCAAGGCAAACTATAGTTAGATGAAAAGACACTGGGGAAAGAAAACATTTGTAAAAATGACATGCAAGGGTGGAACTGTTTGTCATTGTAACTAGAGCTTGCAAGGCTTGTTTAAATTCTGTCCCCTACTCCACTATTATTTATGGTTCGAGCATTGACTTCTATTAAAAACACATGATCTGGTAGAGCAAATTCTACTATTTCTCCATATAATTCAAAAGAGAAGAAGGCTTCTAAGGATCACTGCAATGCTGAAAATCTGAGAACCCTCAAATCTTCATATCTTGCTTCATTAAAGTCAAGACTGCAAGGAGCAGTTTTTCCTTTTCCAAACCTAGCATTTGTAATCCTAGAGAATAACCCCACATCTATGTCCAACAGACTGTTGGACACAGACTCTTTCTGCTTACATATTTTACTTTCATGCTTTAATCCTAAAGTACCAAATGTCTACAGTCTAAGGAAAATATTCACCATCTTAAAAATCAAGCAATAGGTTTTGGGCTGAATAACTACTGGCTAGCAAGTGCCATGAGGCAGCCTTAGTGCTTATCTTATTCCTGTAGACCAGGTTTTATAGTCCACAAATTCCAGTATTTGGGGTTCTACAATAAAAAAACCTAGCCCAGTCTTGCTCTAATCTAAGCCCTGTTCTAGTCCACCAGGACATTACCCTCATCTAATGCAGTCTGCTGTTCACAATTGTATAATGCACTGGTTAACCCGTTTGCCATCTGTGCAGATTTACTTTATTACTTCCTGTGCTACAGCTCACAGGAATCCAAAGTTAAAAAATGCCCTTGGTCTGCATTTGAGGTTGGCACTCAAACAGTCCCGATCACCCCTCAGGTTTCTTGTGGTGTCCTTTGAATTCCAGCCAGCCAACACAGTCAGACACATGTGAGTTTTGGAGAAGTCTCATCAGAGGCATGCCTCATTTCTGTTTAAATTTAATCCTGTTTAAATTTGACCTAATTTTGATCAGAGCAGTGCAGTTTGTATCAGCATAACCCAATACTGCAGCTGACACAGTCTTTTCCTCACACCCCTGCCATGAGCATCCATGCCAGTGCACAGTAATCCACATCAGGGAACTGACCTGAGTAAAACTTTTCTTCCTCACTTCCAAAAAGGCTGGATTAGACCTGAATCAGCCAGTTCCCCAATCTAGTTCCTAAGTGCAGTGCAATACAGGAACAAACAGCTGCACACAGGACCACTTTTCCAGGACTAGCTTACATCAACTTTAAGTTCTTGTGGAACAATATTGTCTGTCACCCCATGCTGTCCTGCACCAGGTTGTCTCAGCAGCTACTTTGAGCATTATGCTCAGCCATGGGGCAGCTTGGTTTCACGGAGCACTACCTCAAAGTCTGGACTGCAGAGGCTCTCCTATTTTACACTTCCTGAACTCTCTACAAGTTGCAGATCCTGTTGTCTGGCTACCAGCACTCGGAGTTGATGTAGGACCAAAAAGATCATGGGCTACCACTGCTGTCAGCCAAAGGGCTGGCTCCAACTCCTTCCCACTATTGGCTTCTAAGCCAGTGATCATTCCAGAATGGGGTCTACACAGCAGCATGTGGACATTTTTGTAATGCTGTTGTGTATATTCGCCCTGACCCACACAGAAGGAACATGAAGCAACGACCTGGATCTGAAGCAACTGGGGCCTGACAGGAAGAGATGAAGGAGAAGAGGAAGACAGATTATTTTTCCTGGTGATTCTTCCCTTATCCATAAATTCAAGACCAAAAAAACCCTCACAGCAGAGCAGGTTACTTCAGGAACAGAGGAAAAATTTGATATGGAAGCCTCACATTTGAACAGTAACTTGTGGGCAGGTGTGAATCTTTGCTGCTTTTGGAGGTATTTTAAGCCCTTGTGACACTGCATCATTTCTCTCTTCTGCTTGAATTTCTGTGTGTTGCATCTTACAGCATAGGCTCCAGAGAGCGAGGACCATAGCTGCAGAGGAAGTGGTTGTTCCTTTGCACTGGCAGCCACATGAAAGCTTTGGGATTAACAGTTTCCTCCCACTCTCTCAACACCTTCCCATCTTGGGCTTGACAGTTGCATGCACAGAAGTTCAGGTGTGTGTGCTTTCCTAGCGACAAGTGTAACAGGTAAGCCAGAACAGGGAAAGAGGACAGATGGGCTATATTTAAAATCTGACCAGACACTGCTATTCCAACTTACTGTTACCCTTAATTATAGCTCTGTATGCAAAGCATCTCCCTTAAGCCACAGTAGTGATACCAGAGGATGGTGCTCTGCCATAGAGCTCACTGGGAAGTGTTCTGACAGCCTGGCAAGAGCTGGGAGCATGGATGAACTGAAATAAGCAGCCCAGTTCTACATGTTCTGCTCACTGCAGAGTGTTTCACCCTTTAAAACCTCACAACTACTCCCTATGATTTCAGGGGCTGTTCTCATGAAACAATGGTCTCTGTCAGAGCAGGCAGGTGAACATGGTCCTGACAGGACTAACTATAAATGCAGCTCACTTACTGATATTGCTGGATAAGGTTTAGGATGATGTTATATTAAAAAAAAACCAAAACCAAACCAAAACACAAAAACCAAACAACAAACAAACCTGAAAAGCTCGCAGCCCTTAACAAAAGGTAAGGGCAGACCTTGAAACAGTTTGATGGTCAGCTTATCTCTGCTGAAGCAAGTTCCAGCATGGGATTATTTTCCTAAGAATGCTGAGCAGTTTGAAATCTCTTTCTAGGCAAGTTACAGATGTAGCCCCAGCATGAACAGGGGATGTACATCATCTTATTCCCCATGCGTGAGGACATGCAATGAGGTGGTGCCATGGATGAATCATGTGTAAATGGACCTAGATCCAGATAAGGGGAGGCAGATGTCCTCACAGCCATCCTTTCTCTGAGGGATCCTATATAGCATCAAGAAAGAAAAACCTCAGTGCAGTACTGAGAACAGGAGGCCTAGGCTACAGACTTCTAGGATTCCCCCTTTATTTTTGGCAGCAAATAGTGGCCCTGTTAGAAGACCTGACCCAAGGACCATCTTCCTCCAGAGCTCTCCACCACAGCTCAGATTGCTTTGGAAGGGAAAAATACGAGGAAGGCTCTGGAAGCATTGATGAGGCTGGTCATGACAGCAGCTTGGCATGGTTCTTCCTCCCAATTCAGCTGAAACTTCTCCAAAGGATCAGAAAGGGAGCAGAGGAAGAGAGGGAAAGTAGGAACCCAGGAGCCCTTGGGCTCTAACTACTTGTCATCACCAACACAGCCAAGTAACGGAATGGCCATTTCTGCAGTGCACTCTTCTGTGCATTGCTATTGCTCGCTGCAACATGCTTTGTATTACTGTACCAGGGAGACAGCCCCTTCCATAAAGCTGGATAAGAAGTGAATTAAATACATTTGCGTTTAAAAAAAATTACAACATAACGTTTCAACAGTTGTGATTAATTGATATTTAAAGTAGAGAGAAAAATAAAGCCATGATACATTACTCACCCCTCAGCGCTTCAGCTGGGACCATATTCATAAGGATAATATTTACACAAGACAAATTAAACAAAAACACAACCAAAAAACAAACAACAACTGTTCTCAGGCACACAGTTACCTGGGGCCCTTGTTCAGTTCTGGCATCGAAGGGGTCTCCAACAAGTCGCTTCTTGGCATACTCCACGCTGCGCTTGACAAACTCTGGATATATCTGCTCCTCCACAAACACTCGCGAGGCAGCTGTGCAGCACTGCCCTTGATTGAAGAACACACCTTGATGGGCACATTCCACTGCCAAGTCCACTGCAACACAGCCCAAGAGGGAAAAGTGTTACCACATGCACAGTTTTAGCCTTCCAGTGTTTCCAGACTTGTTTCTTCCTTTCTCTTTTGAAAGCCTCCTTAAAAAATGCTGACAATGGTCCACACCCATTGAAGGCACTCACAAGGTCTCATTCTGCTCCCAAACCAGATCTCTTATTGTTTCCACCCCCCTTCCTGTCTTTTGTCTCAAGGTCTAGTTTGCCATAGCTCCTGTTACTTTCTTCCACAAGGACTCACAGAGGGCAGTAACCAGTTTTTCTTGCTGTGGGAATTCAGATGTGGATTCCTAGATATCCTGCGTGGGTTCCTGAAGACTAGTTTCAGTAGCAATTGTTTAGAAAGCAGTGTGCCCTTCTGTTGTACAGCCAGCTCAGATCAGGTCCTTGCAATGCCCATTATTAGCAGATGGCACAAATACCTCTGGCTTTCGACCTCTGCTGTGCTGTGCAAGAGAGTCAAGACTATTTTCCCCAAGCCAAATAGGATTTTCCAACCACTTTGGAGGTTACAGGTTACACATATCTCCTAGCACTACTCACTAATGCAACAAAGTCGCAACAGAACATGCCAAATGAGTCCTGCAGACCCCCATGATAGAGGTGAAGGCTGGATTATTAAGGTCCTACAAAACTCTCCTGTCATAGGAATGACTGTAGAGGGGCTGCATTTTAGAAAATTGCTTTCCCCACTGCTTGGCTCAGGCTCTGCAGTACTGCCAACCAAAAAGAAAGCACCACAACAGCAGAAACGCACAAATGCAAGATTCATCTGCAACTGCAGCCATCCCCAGGGAAGGCAACAGTATAATGGTCTGATCATTTGCCATGGGAATGATCCCTGTGCTGGGTAAGAGCTCCAGCAAAGCAGAACTGCATCCTGCTCTTGGACAGAGGTTTCCTCCAGCCTTTGGGGTGGATACAGTGGCAAACACCAGCCCTGCTAAATGCCAAAGGACAGCAGAGACACACAAAAAGCACCATGCTCGTAGTCTCCTACAGCAAATAAACGCAGCAGCCAATACTTACAGTCTGCATCTGCACACACAATGCAGGGGTTTTTCCCTCCAAGCTCTAATGTCACCCTTTTGAGGTTGCTTTTAGAAGCAGCTTCCTTGATCAGTTTTCCAACCTGTAGCATTGAGACACAAAGAGGACACAAGCTGTTTCCCCTGAAAGTCTTAACTCAGTGTGTCAAGTGTGATGCTCACAAGGGTAGAAGAGCCTGGTGGGTAACTGAAGCAGGTAAAAGTCAGGGATAGCACTCTTAAATGGTTTGAGTTTCCTACTGCTGTGATGTGTTAGGTCAAAAGCAGCCCCAGAATTAATGTTTGGTTTAGGCAGATCTGAAATGGCAGGCTAAGTGGGAGAGCTACAGGAACTGTATCCTGAAGTTATCTGCTGCCCAGAGCTGCAGACCAAGGTATTTCCCACCCAGTGCAAGCTAGTGGGCAACACTGGCTATCAATGGGGCTCCAAGGTTTACGAGTTTTACTTTTAAAAATGGGGAATTCAACTTCTTAGAGTAGATCTTGCCAAGGCAATGATGAGAACTCACTGTTCCTACCTGTTACCATTCCCATACCAGAAAGCCATGCATGATTTTGACATTTAGGAGAAAGCTACTTCTTTCTGAGAGTTTAGGCTGAGCTGCTCCACACATAAGAGTAGCCGAGACATGTTCCTTCCAAGGCAGTACCTGAGGATGTCAACAAACTCCAGCTAGCTCTGCCATGGCTCTTTCTGCCCAGGAACCTGCTCTGACCATCTGGTGGAATTTATCTGGCCACCCTCTCCTGAAGGGAAGGATTTACTCTGCTTTCAGAATTTAATCAAAGTAATGTCAAACTAAGTTTTTTCCCCCCAACAGAAAAATTGTTTCATACCAAATGTTTTCCCCAAATTCTGACTGACTGTGCTATTTCTTTTTTATACTGGTAACACCAAACCAGCAATTTCTCCTTCTATTTAAAAAAATGGAATTCCTCATAAGAAGAGCATAAATCAAGCATCAGAATCATTTTGCAATCTAATTTCATTAGAAACAGTATGAGTTAAAACTCTTCGGGAGCTTCAATTCTTAAGGCAGGTTATTTTTTTAAGTGTGACCTTATATTTGAATTTCCACAGTTTGTAACTGTTTTTCTTGTGTTTTACCTTTGCACATGGCAATCTTAACTTAATTTCTGCCTAAAAATACCATTGCCTTGGCGTGGAGCTGTGAGCAAGAAAAGCATGGGGCAGCTGGCAGTTATAGATCTGCATTTCTCATGGCTTGCCTTTGTAACTCGATCAAGACTCCTGAACTTAGCAGTACAGATCACCTCTAGTCACTCAGCAGCCTAGTCCTAGAGACAGCAGAAATAAGTGATGCATCATGCTGCAGATACACATAGCTTCACAAGAGGCATTACTACAAGCTAGCTGGCCAAAGAGGAGCAAGTTAGTAAACTAAAGGAAAGGAAGAAATCTAGATGGGAAAACTCGTGGAGTTTAAGATCAGTATTTCCAGGCTGGCACTGAGCCCAAGCTGGGGCTTAAAAACTAAGTCAAAATATATTTTGAATTAGCTTCACTTCCTGGCTCAGAAACAGTAGCATTATGCTGCAAATACTGCAGAGATGCAGCTGAACTCACAGATGGGTGGAGAGGGAAGAAAACACTTCTAAATTACACATGCATTAGCAAAGAATCTGTCTCCCTCGGTGTTTCCTGCACACCCATGGATTAGGAAGACAAGCACAGCACCTATAGGAGTTTTTTGCCTACAGGCTCCAGCAGCTGCGATTTTCCTTCTGCCCCTAATCCACTAGATACTCCTTTTTCATTAAAAACCCAAACAGATCCATGTGGGCTGGATGAGTCTATAAGCTCTATTGTTTTCACACAGCCAGCGTCTCATCTGGGCTAAAAGTTTCTGATCTAGGATCTGGAGAGAAGCATGTAACTGGGTAAACTCCTAGATTAGACCAACTATCAAGAGAGTAAAAGCTAATGGTGAACTTTTACTTTATTGCATTCGTGTTTGTTCCCATGATCCCTATACAGAAACAGAGGCTTAAACACACCTTCTCCTATGGGATAAGCAAAGCAGTTAGCATGTACACAAAGCCACTAGATGGTACTGTTGTTAAATGCAGCAGCTTTTGAGGGTTCAGTGAGTTACCTTTACCGACCAAGAATACCATTCAAGGTAATTGGTCATCATTACACATTTAGATTACACTCTGCAATTTTGAGAATAGACATAGGAATGGATTAATTTGGCAAACGCTCAACAAGAATAATGTTACTCAAAGAAATAAAAGAGACTATATTTGCCTCAATTGCACCCATTGGTGTCAGCATTTCCATTGTTTGGACGCTGCCTCTCTTCAGGGGGTGCATATATATTGCAAGAAAAATCTAGATCAGTGACTGGAAAAACGTTCACATTTCTAAGGAAGCTTTTGTTTGAGAATTTTCAGCAGTGATTACTGGAGACAAATAAGTTTACATGTCAGAGCTGTGCTCAATTCCATGGACTAGGCCAAGCCATGGGCTCCTTTCCCCCATTTAGGTACAGAAGAGGATGGCTGTAGGTGTCTAATAGTGCAGAGGTCTCACTTCCACCCCTCTTGTAAGCAAGGCAGCTGTAGCTATTTACAGGAAAAAACTGAACAGAAGGTGCTTTACTGTGCAGGTCTCAAAAGAAGCTCAAATGTTAATCCTGTCCACGTCAGCAGAGGAAGCCTCGGGCACCAGGCCATGTTTTTATTTAAGTCCTAGTTCCTCAGAAGTTAACTAAAGCTGAGGAAGAATTGTTCAGGGCTCTGACTGACATGTTTACCAGTTGCACACGCTGGCAGGGCAGGACTGGCAGGCAAACTTGCCCAGAAGCTTCATCAGGTCAGTGACACGATGTTAAGTCACTGCCAGCCTCTCCTGTAGACTGTCTTATCTTATGTCAGAGCATCTTTACTTACAGTTCTTACAGAAAAGTGACGTATGGCAAAACCCAGCTTACAGACATGTGAGATTATCACAAGCACAAGGACCTGAATTAGACAAATCCCAAACATTTCTGAGAAATCCTGTCACATGGAATGTAATGGAAAATGGTGCTGGCTATACAGAAATTGCTGACATTTCATTGGTCCAGTCTTATGTGGATGACAGTTTTAGAAGAGAATGCAAAGAGGACCAGCAGGTATTTTATGAGAAATCCATCACCTACCTTTGTTGATCCAGTAAAAGCAATTTTATCAATGCTGTGATGGGTAGAAATAGCAGCTCCAGCTGTGGGGCCATAGCCTGGCACAATGTTCACCACACCTGGAGGGAAACCCACCTAAAACAGAGGTTAAATACAGCTCTGTAGAGAGAGATTTTGAGCACTCTGGAGCTGATCTGCACTCCTGAGAGTGCAGTGCAATTCTCAGGAAGCTTGAATTAGTTGCACTATATTCCTTGCAATTAAGAATTGCAAGTTGCAGACAAGGAGCCCATACCAGATACATCACTGTTTTCCAGACTTTCCAGTAACATGGCTGTATGCTACCAGCTGGAGTAGACGTAGGTGAAACTAACAGCCATGCTTAGGAAATGCCAAGTTTCAGTAAGAATTCTTGGAGGAGTCCCAGTTTCAAGTCAAAAGGGAGTAAGTCTTTTGGCCAAACTTGGCCCCCAGCTACTGCTGTGCAGCTGGAGCCAAGGGGTAACTGAATGAAAGTTTGTTTTGAACAAAGGTTGATATTTGTGGTTCTTCAGGGGCTGGAGGGATTAAGAAGTTGGTAAAACCTCACTAGATGATGGTGCTAATAAAACAGGAATACAAGAGCAGATGGTAACAGATTTACTCCAGTTTCTACCACATTTACAACCCAGATTAGCCAACTAGTAATTTTGCCAAAAGACACAAATGGCAAAACTTTAGGTGAAATTCTAGTGCGAGGAGAAGTGTGGGACTTACTGGTCTGTTTTTACTTCCTGGAACAAGAGTTTCAAGGATTATGCTCTTCTAGGTTAGCCCTCCCCTACTACTGATTGCACAAGGTTGTTTGCCCTGCAATTTCTAACAGTGGAATTGCAGGTTATTAAATGTTCACTTCATTTCTTGTGGCTTTTTAATATAAATTCTCAATAAATGCAGTTGCTCCTTCCTAATATAGAAAAATTGAAGTAATTGCTCATGTACTATCTTGCAAAAAATTATCTTCATAAGATGTTTCTTCCCTATTTTTCTTTTCATAAATTGGAAAGGCAGTCTGAGTTCTTCTATGGATATGACAATGATAAAAGTGAGTTTAACAGAGTTTGCATCTTGGCTAATGAGTTTTCAAGAAAATACTGCATGTCAAACTGTGCAAGTAATGGTGTTTGGAGTCAGCAGCAAAGCCACAAGGAAGCAAAAAATTGGTTCAGGCCATCCTGAGCCAAAAAGTTTTTTCTGTTTTTCAGCAAAAATGGAAGCCAAAATATTTTGGTTGGCCCAAAATTATTTCATTGAACCCAACATATAGCTTTGCTTGTGTGTTAACATCTTCTGCATCCTTTTAAAGATTTTTTAAAAAAAGTTTAACTTATTCTTCTGAAAAACTGCAAAGAATTTAGCTAATTCTGGGTGGAGAAAAGAGCATTTTCAAATAGAATTATTCTGCTCTAGTTACATTTCTGCCTTGAAGGACAATTGTGAGAAACAGGCAGCTTAGAATTTCAGCTCAAAACACTAATTTCACCAGAACTGAATGTTTTTTTTGAGGGCAATGCTATGCCTGTGTTTGGGGAGCTGTATGTCAGAGTGAAAAAAGCAGTGCTGTGGCAGTGCTAACTATAAGTCATGAAAACTGCACCCTATGTTCACTCTTCTTGTGTAACCTTATTAAGTCAATTAACTGCAGGAGATACTTAACTGGTAGTGTTTTTTGCACTGCCTTTCCTGACGGAGGAGGCCTAAGTGTCAATTATTAACATATCCTTCTATTTTCTCCCAGGCTAAGCCAAGAACAGACAAAATCATCATTATCATTAGACTGAGCCTAACAAACAGACTTTTCCAGCTGAGAGGCAAAAGCGTATCTACAACCCTTTTAGTTTTCCTCACAATTATTCACATACATAGATATAGGAAGCTGACGTACTGACCAGTCCTGGAAGGTACTGTGCACCCACCACCACCTCTGTATGATTAATAGATCTGAGGGCACCTGAGATCCTACCTGACAGGCCCTAAACCAACATTTTGAAATCCCAACCTATGACCTTCCCTTTATGTCAGTATCGAGTTGGCTTTAAAGGCCAGACATAGCTGAATTGTTCTACAAACCGCAGAAATTATGAAGAATTGTTTCCCATGGCACTCTGTCTTGCTTGAATTATCCCACTTTAAAATCGTACAAACACAATACTGCCGTCTAATCGCACTCTTTTTTGTCCCATTGTCTAATAAAACTGAGCTGTAGTCTTTCCCTCATTTGGGAGAGGGGAAGACATGGCAGAGGAATAAAACCACCATTTTTTCTCCCTGCAGCTTCCTAAGAAAAGAAAAAAACCTACAGGTTTTGTGATCTTTGCTGCCTCCCAGCCAGCCACTGTCAGGCAAGAAGGCCTTTGCAAGAAAAGACTGAAGACAGAGGTTGTTCTCACTTTCCTCTGTGAGGCTTTAATATCTTTAAAACCTACAAACATACACAGCCAATTCAAAATACAGTCTGACTTACCACCTTAAAAGAACAGTACCTAGACGGGATGTTCAGATTTCCTTACCTCTTTGATCAGCGAGCCGATGTACAGCGATGTGAGAGGAGTTTGTTCAGCTGGCTTAATAACCAAAGTGTTTCCACAGCACAGCGCTGGTGCCATCTTCCAAACCAGCATTAGCAATGGGAAGTTCCACTGCAAGAACACAAGGCTGGTCAGATCAGCCCAGCAGAGTCACCTACTCACTTCCACACAGCATTTTCCCCACCTTCACACAGCTCAGGGAGAAAGAAGCAACTAGGAGGACAGCCACAAAGAGAAGCGTCTGTTTACGATACTGAGTTTGCTTGGACTATGGAGTATAACTTCCTTGATTTCCCCCTGAGATCCAAAATATTGCTGGCAGTCCTCAAGCTAATCCTGTAAGTTGGACAAACCTCTGCATGATGTGACCTCATTCTTTACAGGAGTTTGATCACACTTTGTACAGGATTTTGGCTGTTTACAGAAATTATGTTGGAGGCAGTGTCGTGATGCATCACTTCTGTACAGCATCCTTATGTGGGGGAACTACAGGGTGCAACTGCTCATTGAAAAAAACTCATTTTTCTGTGTTAGGTATTGGCTGAATAGTTATACAATATCATTCAATTCCAGGTTTATAACTAGGAAACCGCAGTGGGTTGTTCAGTCATGGAAATCCAGGGGAGGTCTTATACTCCCTTCAAATTGTAAATTGCTCCTTTCCAATTAGTTTTCTTATTTGGAACTAGGAACCAGTCCACATCGGCTTCCTCTGTGCTAATCTCTTTCTTAGTCATGTGTATTTGTAGATCTTGGAGCCTAAGCAAGAAGTGGAAAATCTAGCTCACACTGAATCTCAGAAAGGTCATTTGGCAGCAGAAAGGATTTCTTCATTAAAAATAATTAATGCTGCTTTAGGGATGATGGAAGCAGGCCAACAGTAAGGGGACTTCTTGTCAAGACTCAAGCCAAGGGCCTTCAGCTATCAACAAAGCAGCCAAATATGTTAGGAATCCACAAATTCACACTTACAAATAAATTAGCAGTGTAGCTTTTAAGAGATGAGTTCTGTTCTAACCCAGCAGCCCTGAGACAGAGCAGAATTTAGTCTAATGTGCTATTCTTCAACTTGCCTCTCCCTCTTTCCCAGACCTGGTTCATTTCAGTGAACTTCTCCAATGGCCACATCCCATGATTTGCCCATTTGTCTTTTTCTCCTAAGCCTTCTTGAAGGCCTGATTTTGCAGCTTGAGCCATCCACACCTACATTACTTTTCTACACTTTCAGAGCATGACGTAACTCCATTAGAAGCCTTCTGTTGCAGAATGGCTGGTGAAAATAACAGTAAAAGACTCCAGGGCTGCCTCATGACATCACCTTGGGATACAGTTCAGTCATGTGCTGCGCTTTCTAAGAACTTCCCTTCCTAAGAACGTTGGTTTAAATATAGTCAAGCCACAGGAAAATGGGAGGGCTGTTAATTGGTCTAGGGAGACATATGCAGAATAGTGACAAAATCTCTTTAAATCAAGTAGGAATACACAAACCCACAGACTGTTGGTATTAGATATCAAACTGGGAAAAAACTGGGGGGGGGGGGTGTGTTCTAAATAAACTGAAGACAGATGTGGTTTTGTTGACCCCAATCATCCTTTTTACAAACACAGTGTTGAACTTGAGTCAAATTTGGTTCTGTACTTTCTATTGTATTTATTGCTGATGTAGGGTCAACCTGAAATACTAGAAGTGCCACTATGTCCCCTTATTGTGGCCTTCCAAAGCATTCTACATGTAGGCTTTTAAAGGGAAAAATTGCTGAGTGCCAAAGGTGGCTGAGTGTGACAGAGCGATACCTTTTAATTGGTGATCAACATGAGAAACCTGATGTTTTGATCTTAAGTCATAAATTCTAGTTGCTCACAAGCAGTCATATTGCTTGGTCAGCCAGAAAAGCTGTGCAGAAGTCATCAAGCCAAACGTCTGATAACTAGTACTGACCATCTCCCACTTTGCCTCACCCTGGCATTGCTAAATAGACCATACCATCTTATCACCAGGGATATAAGCTCAGTCCTGCTGAAGGAAAAAGCAAAATTTCCCCAGGTATCTTTGGGAACTGGTCCAGACCTGGTATTCCCAGGGTCCAGCAAATCCAATACCCCACATGCATTGCTTTCAGTCTCTCATATAACTTTATCCCAAAGGTAAAAATCTTCCATGGACTCTTATTGATCCAAGTACCCAAACAGAGAATCTTGGCACACCACCATTTGCCTCACGGCCTGTAGGATACCATGTTCAAAGCATTTTACAACCAGACAGGAACAAACTGTGTCTCCCATGTAGCTGTAAAGTATTCCTGGTCATCTGTCTAAACAGAGCAAGCAACACACACTAAAACTGGAGATATTCCAAGAACTAGCCACACTGTCCCCTCAGCAGAGAATGAGACCTCAAGGAAAAGAAAACTCTATTCAGTGAGATTTAATCACAGAAAGCTCAGAGAACAGGCAGGCGTTATTAATAATGGATATGATTTAAAACTCAAAACTATGCATCAGCACTAGGCAGCAAAAAGCTAGCACATGTAATGACAAGATGGTCATCCCAGCAGTGCAAGAGTCAGAGAGATCTGACTGGTCTCTGGTGACTGGTGTCAGCCTTAGAGAGGAACAGAGCATCTGATTAGGAGACCCACCCTTCCATTGCAGAGGACTGTGTGTTGCCAAGAGCAATTGGCATGGGGGTAAAACAAGAAACTACATCAGGCAACTGTGATGGGAGTTCCCTGAAGAACAGCTGTACTTAACTAGGAAGCAAATGGCTGCAGTATAAGATGGGAAGTGCACATGTACTTCTTCCAGTTCTCAGAGAGATGCAGGGCACCGTCACTGCTACTTACTGGAGTTATAGCTCCACAGACACCCATTGGTTCATGCCTGGTGAAACAGACAAAGTTCTCATCTGCAAGACAAAACAATAAAAGAAGACAAACCAGTCAAAATCCTTGCTTCTACAGAAACAGTGTAAGCCAACTGCACACTAACAGGTTGGGGACAGAACTAAAACCGTATTAGGCAGAGAACCCTATATCTGTTCATCTTAACACATGCCTCTGGGACACTCCAGGCAGATGATCTGTTTGAGAATAGGTCTTGTGTTAGCTCAAAAGCCAAACTGCTCACGGTCACAGTGGAGCCTTTTAAAACCAGGGGTTCAATTCCTTCTGCAAACTCCCTGTGTTGAGGCTCAGGGGAGGGTAACTCCTTACCACACTGAAGAGCAAGCACAAATTTCATTCAGATTATGTCTCACTGAAAAGAAGAAAAGCACTTGTCTCTCTGAGGGCAAAAGTTTTTAAACCCATTTAGTACAGGAATCATATTCAGTGTAAGAGGAATGGCACTTCCAGTAAGAAATTACAAAAAGATGAAACTCTAGGAGTAAAGTAATACCATTCATCTTAAAATACTGCTATTACTCTGTCAGAGAGAAAGCAGGAAGGACATTTTCCTTACAAATTCATTCTTGCTGAAAACCTAGTTTCATTGGGAAGATCTGACAGAAAACACGAACATTTCTAATTACGGTTTTTAGAAGTGATTTTAAATCAGGACCAATGAGCAGCATCCAGGCAAGCAAAGCTTCACGTTACTCTGAATGAGGGTGACAGATCTCAGTTTATATGACTAATACCACTCCTCTTGCTGACTGCGCAGGCTGAGCTAGTTCAGCCCTTCAGAGCTCTTGTCTGGTGGCTAATTTTTGTCTGCAATGCCTGTCCTTCATACAGCCTCAGTGATCACCCACATGCAGGAACAAAACAGGTTGATTTTGAAAATACAGTGTGGCTCATCGTGCCACATGGACATCCGTTGTCTTAACTTGTCTCCCCAAAACCATATTTGAACTTACATAGCTGAGCCAAAGTGTTCTGTCTGTCCCTGTCACAACAGTACAGTGTGACTACTCTGGCTCTGCAGCTTAGGAAACATTTTGAAAAACCTCTTTCAAGTGTCAGAAAAATTGACAGGGTTGCCCCAAGAGCTCAGTGCTGTGGCTCCTGAGAGGAGTCAACATCTCAGACCTTCTCTTTAATAAAGGTTAAGAAAAAGCACTACATGATCTCTCTGAACATCTGTGAGCCAGCACTGTCAGGGATGTGGGAACATCAGTGAGGTGGGAGACACTGGCAGATTCCACATCAACCCTCTGCCACATCCCTGTGGCATCTAGGACAGCACAAGCGCTGCTGCCTTCATACAATTATCCCTAGAAACCTCTGTCCTTACACTCTCTGACATCTTAATTCATTTCAGTGATACCTAATGAATAAACTCCCCTATAACATGTAGGTTTTTTTCTTTAAGAATTAGTCTGAATTTAAAAGCCAAAAGGTTTCTCTGTTAAAAAAGCAACAAAAGAGCCCATCCATTATTTTCCAGAGATCTATCCAGGCATTCACACTGTTCTCCCATTAGTTTAAATCTTGAAACCCATCTACTTAAAATGCATCCTGAGATAGAAAGGAAATGCAGGCTGTTTTTGCAGGTTTTCAGAAGTTGGCCTTTCCATGCATCTCCCTCCCAGCAGGCCTCCCTTCCACCCCCTCAAGCCTGATTCCATCCCAGCTCTGAAACCGGGTCTGAAGGAACTTACCCACTGGGATAGTTCTGCCCTGAATTTTATCAGCCCATCCAGCGTAATATCGGAGCGTTTTTATACAACCTTCCAGGTCAATGAAATAAGCCTGCAGAAAAGGTTTTCCTGTGTCCATTGTTTCCAGAGTCTGAAAAAACAAATTGCATGCAGTCAGATAAGTCAATGTTTTTTTCTTAAAAAAAGCTTTTGGAGAAACTCCTTTTCAATTTTATTTTGCCTTGTGCTGCAGACATGGGGTTTCCTTCCCTCCCCTTATATTTAAGGAATGAAGTTGCTAATACAAATATGGTAGAAGGGAGACTAGACCCAATAACCCTGATGCATACAGAAGTTGCTTTGTTCAGTGACTGCAATGAAAGCGCATCTTCTGAAAGCCTCCAGAAGGTGGCTGTGGGTAAGATAGAGGGCTGTGGTCTGGGGCATTGGTCAGAAATGATGTGAATGTCATGACTTCACCGTAACTGACCCTCCAACACAGATCTTCTGGATTCCAGATGGTGTCACTGAAATCAGTCAGACACACTTTCCTTTTATTTGGAAATCTATTTTTTCTACTTCACAGCCCTAAAACCAACCTCTGAAAAGCCTCTTTTGTCCACAGGATGATAGAAAACACATTTTTTACGGAGTTCTGGTAAAAAACCTTTGGGCTCAGATCCATGCTGCAACTAAGGCAAGGGAGAAGTTGCTTCACTAAAGCTGCATCGATGCTGAGCAGCTCTAAATGAAGTCCAGTCTCGGCCTGTGTCCTTCTCACTGTTCTGGACATTAGCTCAGTGAATGCTTTGTTCTGTACTCAGGTCATTAAACGGGATATTGGTGCAAATGGCCAGCACATCCATAAAGGAAGTACTATCCCCTGGTAGATTGAAACATCTTTGTTTACGTATGAAGTCATATCCCATCATCTTCCACAGACATTAGGGTCCAAGCAGCACTTGAACAGACATTCTCCTTGGAACAACTAGGATTGTTATCCACTCTGAACGTCTGCTAAAACAACTGATTTTTATAAGTCATTACTTAGCATGCAGCCAAGGCAGCTACGGCTGGTTTTCTGCAGTGAAAATAACAATGCCAAACAAGCCCTCCCAGATCAGAAGGACGGCAGAAAGCTTGAAATGAGTGTCCTGGTTTATGGAAAAAGGAGGGTCCTCTGAAGTCACATCAAAAAATGAGCAGAAAATGAACAGGGTATATTCACACTGACACAGATTTTTCTTTTTTTCCTTTTATTTGCTGGCCAGAACTGCCAGACCTGGATTTTTTTGGTTTTGTCCTGCTGAAACTGGAGGCTGTCATGTGGTTAAGAGACACTGTGTTGGAGAAAGAGACCCACCTCAAAACAGTCATGCAAGTACAGGCTCCTAAGCACATCCCATGTATGTTAAGTCCTACTGACCTCAGTGGGACATCAGCTCAGGAACTTAAAGATATCTAACAGCACTGAATGTCATAAATGCCATTCCCCCAAAGATAAGCAGAGCCAAAGTGCAGCATTGAAGTGGTGAGTGCTCAGGTCCAAGACCTTAGAAATGGAGTGACAGTAGCCCTACACTGAGAGATGCTAGGATCTGTGGGCACAATTTGGAAAGATGTCCAAGGCCCATGGAGTCTAAAGGCTTCTACCAACTGCAGTGCATTTCAGCTTGGGTCCTACTCCCCTTGTTCTGCACCAGAAGGACTCCTTCAGGACAGGATGGGGAATCATTAGCAATAGTTCTTCAGTGCTGAAGTCCAAGTTAACGCAGCTTCATGGCTATAAAGAGATTTTCCTGAGCCAGTAAATTCAGTAGGGAAACAAAGACTTCCCACTTACACACATTTTAAACTTTGGATGACATCCAGCAAGAGAAAGATTCTCTTGCCAGCCCCCCATTTTAGAGGAAGCAATTTGCAAAGAAGTCAAACTGGCCTGCATTTTTTTAATAAAGGACTGAGTCAGTTGTAGTGGTTTGGGTTTGTTTGTTTGTTTTGTTGTTGTTTGTTTTGGGTTTCTTTGTTGTTTGTTTTGGGGTTTTTTGTTTGGGTTTGTTTGGTAGCTTTTTTTTTTTTTAAGATAAGAACTGGGAGACAGCTATGAACATTGATGACTGTTAAATCAAGAATATGTTTGTTGCTTTGAAAATTTAAGTATTTATATCTGTAATCACTTCAACAACCAGCTAAAGTTCTGAAGAGGAAGTCAACTATATAGAAAAACTAACAGCCTTCTTCTAAGACCCCTAACATCATCCTGCAGAATGAGGAAGATAAGCCATGACTCCAGCATGGACTCTTCTGCCCTTCATAAAGGGAGAGAAAAAAACACATTAGGTAGATATGGATGTAGCAAAATCAGAAGGTTGGAGCTGAGTTATCAGCCAGCTGTTGCTGGTTTATCACTGCTCACCGATCAGAGTACTTACCGCCAGGATGACTCTGTCTCGCTCAAGAAGATCAGCCAGCTTGTGCAGGAGTCGTCCCCTGCTTAGGGCATCCATCTGTCTCCATGGAGACCCCCTCTGGAATGCTGCCTTCGCTGCTTCCACCGCATTATCCACATCAGGCTAGAGCAGCCACATACACAAGAAAACCTTAGGTTACAAGGAAGGAACTGGACAATGGCACAGAAACCCCATCAGGCTGCTTCCTAGATGATGCTGTGGTGGCTAAAACAAGCTGTCTGACAAAACCACTTCTATTTTACTCCTGGATTTGAACCCAAGCCTGCAATAAGTTTTGGATTTGGCCTGGGCTCATAAACAACCTTGGGGTCAGAGTACCAACAGGGTCTTTCAAGGGTAGTTTTATGCAACTGGTTTGTTTATACAGTAATCCAGAATCATGTTCCTGCCGATACAGGATGTAAGTGACACTGGAGGAGGATGGAGAAACAAGATCCCAATTCTGTTCCCATTACAGCTTCCCTAAGTGTGACAGGCCATTGGCCTACATGAATCATCTTCCTCTGAACAAGTGTGGGAAGGAAAGTCTTCCATGAGAGAGATCATGGTTTTATCCAGGGGAACAATCACATCTCAGATCCCACCATTCAGTCCCACCAAAACCTATGCCAGTAAGAGTTAACACTCTAAAAAAGCTCCCTTAGATCCTAGATCATACTTCCAGAACACTTTTACCAGATGGGAAGGGTTTTGTTGGTCAGTGCTATGACAAAGGCATTTCACCTACACAGACTTAGTGCCACTCTCCATCTCCCAACTGCTTTACCACACTCTGGACCAAATCTAACCCTGTTTACCCAAGTTACTACTCAGACAGGCAGCAAATTCCCTCTCTCCCCACTGCGCCATCCCCAGAGAAGCTTCATGTATTTTCTCTGGCCACAGTATGCCCTGGACTCCTCCCTTCTTCCCACATACATTGATTAAAAAAAGGTGAAGGTAAGGGCGACCTCCCGACCCAATGAAGTCAATGGGAACACTGCCATCAACATCCGCAAGGCCAAGGCCGTACCCCAAGCATACATAAAGCATACTTCACCCTGACTTTGGACAGAATCCTGCTCTACATAATGTCTGGCACAGCCCATGCCTCACTTCAGCTGATGGAGAACTTGCACCTCACCACAACATGTAGCTGAAGGGGGTGGGAAAGGAGGGAGGGTTTCAGGCCTTGATTGTTCCTCAGAGTGCTTCACCAGTTGCTCTCACTTACGTCTTATCTCAAGCCTTGTCTGGATACAATTACAAAGTAAGCCTCTGCACTGATCCAACAAGGTCTGGTCATTCTCCCCTCATGGGGAAATGTGTGGTGCTCAACCAATTAAAATGTTATGGGGAGACATGTTGCCTTCTTACAGCAAAAGTTCATGGAGAAAACAGCAAGTCATCACCCACTGAAATGGCACCTTACACTAAATTTGGCTTCTTTTCTTTACAAGAAGATTACACAGCTTTAAAACAGTCTGACCTATACTGCCAGGAAAAGAACCCCACCCTTTTGGAAGGGCACTGATGGGGAAACTGTTGGAGGAAACTTGCTGTTACAAGGGGTTAAGAATGGCTCTGGTCAAGCAAGTGTGGTGGCAAGGCAGAGGTAGCAAGCAGCCGCTGTGAACGCGCAGGCATGTCCTGCCTGGGGCCCATCACCCACAGGCAGAACCGGCCTTCAGAATGGTTTGCTTCAGTTGAGTTGATCTGGATTCAAACTGGCACATCACAAAAGCCAGAAGGCATCCCCAGCCACTGCACACTTATGTACTCCTCATCCTGCCTGCTCAAATGAAGTCTCAAGGTGAAAGAAGGCAATATTTTGTGTGACAAAGCAGACAAAGAAACACAAGAGGTGTGTCAGGTTTAAACAAGTCTTCCCTTAGCAGTAATTAGCTTCTGTGACCAGGCTGGGAGCACTGACATGCAGAGCATTAGGTCTGCAGTGGCACAGGCCACAGCGCAGCATGCCCTTGGTATTGGGGGACTTCCCACCATCCTGGCACTCACAGGAACAGGGATGAGATGGCTGTGTGGGCAGAGGACTTCAGTGCATGCCCAGATCTTCCCTATCCTCTAAACATGGGAGCACCTGAGCCCTGCTGCAGCTCCTGCAAATACTAGTTGTCTTCATTCTCATCTCTTTTCTCAGACACGCTGGGTACACACAGCAGCTTGGAGACTGCAGTCACTATCACACAAGCAAAAAGGCCTTCCCAAAACACCCTCAGGGGTAGCACCACCAAGTGAGATCTTGTGAGCCTGTACAGCTTCAATAGGCCTGAGAGACCAGCAAAAACAAGGAAATTCTTCAGGAAGGCTGAAATGCCATTCTTAATCCATCCTGTTATGACTAGGCATTAGGGGAGTCTGAATGGCATGTTCATTGCCAGCATGTTGCAATAGGTAGGCACAATGCGTGACAAAGAGACTCGTAACTGTCAAGGTGCCAGGGACACACTGTGGTATACAAAACCACAAGGAGGAGGAGGAGGTCCGTGCATCCTGGTGCTTAGTTCTGATCTACACAGATTTACAGGGTATTACATAAAGAGCTCCACTAAGAGAATATTAAGATTGCAAAGTCAAGCACTGCAGCGTTGGGAAATGCCTGCAAACCTCCATACCCACCTTGGATGTTTGCATTATGATACAACCCCCAGTTACACAACCGCATACCATTTTCCCCTGAACAAACTCACACCGTTCTTTGTTCTAAGCTACCTCCTCCACATTCCTCCTCTACCTCAAGTCCTGCTCATCACTGCTCCATTTCTATCCTGCCCCTTTTTCCTCTCTCCTGCCTCAGCAGCAGGCTGCAGAGCACAGTGGAGACCATCACCCCACTGGCTCTGTGAGTAGGGAAAACACCTGCAAAAAATTCTTGCTCTGCTTCAGGCTCAGTGTGCACAATACTGCTTCAGTTTGGCCAGTAAGGAGCCAGGGATGGAGCACACCCAGTGGAGACTGTCTTCAATTCAATTACTAACTTCTTCAAAAAGCCTCCACTGTGCACATCTTTGGAAAGGCACTTCTCTGACATAGGGCTTGAGCATGTCACAGTTTCTTGATTAGAAGATGTTCCCTGACCTGCTCCCCTGCAAACCCTCTGCAAACAGTATACACATTGCATTGCTCTAACTTTTGAGCCCGAGTTCAAAACAGCTACAAACAGCATCTTAACAGCCTAAAGTGTCCAAAACCATTATTGAGGGCATTGCAAACCTGCTGTAGGGAATAATATTCCTGCAGCCTCTTACCTCAGCCTGCCACTGCAATCTGAGGGGGGCAGGATGACTGTGAACAGAACCCTCTTACAACCCTTCAAAGATCCACTTGGGAGAGTGAACTGCTTAGAAGTGATCATGACACACACTCCAGAGCATCAAGTCTGCTTGACAGTCACAGCTGTAGACCTGCTGCCCACACTCTGTGGCAGCCAGCTGAGCCAGGCACTCATTTGAGCAAGGAGCACCTTTCCCCCTGCCCTTGATGGATGTTAGCAAGCTGCTAGTAGAAAAAAAGCCTGTCTTCAAGAGTTAGACAGCACCAGAGAAATGGCAATGGCACAAGTATTTTTACCTTCACATTGTACAACCGAGACAGGGTGGAAGTTCTGGGGCTGCACTATTTGCTGGGGGCAGAAGTCTAACAAAGAAAGTTATTCCTTCTCCATTATCAACCTGGCAAACACTTGGACCCTAAGCCATTATCTGGAAGGCAAAAAGCCTCCAAGCATCCAGTGGAAGCATTTGCCATTTTATTTTCAGTGCTTCTTTTTCCACACAAGACTTTCCTTTATCCCCCAACTATGCCATCAAGGGCAATTCTGTCTTAAATTCTGTAACTAAAGAACAAACAACAAAACCTTTGCTCCTAGCCTCATAAAGCATTGGCCAAGTTTCAGCACCAGACTAAATTGTCATCACTGAGATATTGGCTGCCAAATTCCCACCCCTCACGTGTAGACTAAGCAAAACACACTGCACAGCCAGGGAGGGGCAGGTTTCTGTTCAGGGGTAGGGAAGTGGAGTCCCGCTCCCAGCCCGCTGTGAAGGCAGAGCCAACCCTGCCACAGCACAGCTGAAGCCAGAGCCAGTACCAAGAACTGCCACCCCTGCAGTGGTACTGACCAACACAATCAAGTATGATGGCATGTGGGGACAAGATGCTGGAAAGCGCCACCAAACACAACTCACCACTTTCTGTAGTGACTCCAACAGACTGGAGTTACAGACCTAGGAGGGGATGTTCAACCAGGGCAAAGGAAGTCTCAGGGGACTCAGTTTGCCAGAGGACAGTGGGACATGGTCAAGTGTCGCCTGTAGCCAAAAAACTATTTTGGGATGCTTCTTTCCCATGACTCTGCTTTCTAGCTAATCCAGATCCAGGTCTAACCCCACTCAGTCTGTCACAAAAGCCTATTTAGAGAAAAAAATTTTTTTTTTTTTTTTAAAAGTGTGATGTAAAGGGGTGGAAGAAGAGGCTTTCAGCACCCAAGGTGCAGCTAACTTACATTCTTGCCTGCAATTATTCTATGCACCAATGAGTCAGCCAACTATGCTGAATATCCACGGGCAGAGGGCTCCACTGACTGGCCCCAAGGAAAGGTTTACAGTGACTCTCCTGCAAGCTAGAAGCTGAATGTTATCCTTGAATTCAGGCAGAGACAAGTCTCAAGGATGCAAACTGCAAAACTGGCCTTTTAGTTCTGCATAATGAATTTCTTTAACCAAGTCATTAAGAATCAGGCTTGAAATACTCATGTAATGCTCTGTAACTGCTTGAGGAGACACTTCGCTCAGGGAACAACAACAATGTCATGGATTCTGCCTAGCAAAATACAGTTGCATCAGAGTTAGCTTCAACTCCACTGTTTACATGCCACTGCAATTCAAAACAGTTGTGTCCTACCCAGTTAGTATAAAGAAATTACACATAATGTTTGGTTATTTCTCAATGTGTAATTGTGCCACGGATGCACAGATCCCCCACGGCAATAGGTCTCAGAGGCTGCTTTAGTGCCATCCAAAAAGAACAGTCACCTTACACGCTATTTGCATGCAGGCTGGAGGCTTGTATTGCCAAGCAAGTTTGCTCCCATCTCCAGAAGGGTCAGGCTTTATACTCTACACAGTATAATACCAGAAAACACACTGCCCCTGCTCAACTAGTATCACTTCTACTAGGAAAGGATCCCCAAGGCAGCTACCTGGCTGGAAACCAGGCATTGGGCCTCACAAGTGTTGGACAGGCTTAGATACTAAGAAAAAGATACCACAGTACAAACAGAAATGTCCACACTGCCCATCACATACTGCCCACAGCAATGAGCAGCCAAAGCCCTGGTACAGCAGAGAAGCCGTGAATCACCTTCCCATGACACGCTGCAAAAAGCCAGCTCTTGAACCAGCTCTTTCCCATAGATCAGGCCAGTTGGCCCATACGTGATGAGCTGTTTTGGACAAAAAGTGTCACATCTGATTGTTCCTCACCTCAGACTGTTACCAAACCCAGGCAGTTATGTCCCAGGCTAATCTACATCACACCAGGGCCAGGGACTACTAAAGTTCTTGGGAGATACTGGTTTGGTTTAAACTGAGAGTTGCCACATTTGTGCAGGAGGCCAGAACCTGTGATACCAGTTGGTAAAGCAGCACCACATCTCTAGCAGAAAGTGGGCAGTGTTTGCATGACGGAGCTTAAATTCCCCCAAGCACTCAGGTTATTTGTTGATTGTGTTTAAAATAGGGCGAGTTTCAGTTTGATGTCTCCACCAGGTTGCCATGCCGTTTGTGTATAAACCACTCCCAACACAAGGCCCAACTTCTGTCAGGGATGTGCATACACCATCATTGCTATTTCCCCAGACTGGCTGCTTCCTTCCAGTCTATAACACAAGAACGATGCTGAATCTCATTCCTCTGACAGTGTTTGGCAGGGAGTTCCTACCAGGGAAAGTGACTCTGCTGAGTCGGACAGGATTGATCCCACCCACCCTGTGTAATTCTTGAGCAGCACATCCAGTGTCCCAGACCTTCGGCTCACAGTCTGGCCAGATGTATGTTGTCATTAAAAGCCAGCTTTTCCTCTGTGTGCCTCCCTACAAAAGGAAGTCCCTTAAAAACTGTCTTTTGCACTGCCTTTTCAACAACACTTACCTTGTCTCCTTCCTCAATGTCACAAATTTTCTCCAACGTTGAAGGGTTGTAGGTGGGGAACTTCTTTCCACTTGTAGACTCATGCCATTCATTGTTAATAAATATCTGAAGAGAGAACAAGAGGAGTGGGATGGGGAGGAGAAAAAAACTGATGTAGACAATGCAAAAAAACCACAAGTACTCCTCAAAGGTCCCGAGGCTCTTCAATTTCCATTGATGGCAGTCAAGCATGTTCAGTCTCTCTCCCAGGGAGACTGTTTGCGATACAGACAGCATTTATCCAAACTAGAACCTGAGCCAGAGAACAGATGAAAAAGCCTTCGTGCACCCAGTTAGTTTTGAGCAAGAGGAAGACAGAGGATGGGGCCCACACAGTATAACACCATAATTTGGCAATGAGAAACAGACAGTTTTTGAAATACATCTCCATGGGAACAGCAAGCAGACACCAAGAGAAACTTGTATGGTTCAGGCAAAAGGAGCCCCTTGTTACATGCTACAAATGAAATGCCAGCATACAATATTACTTGGTTGTTTGTATCCTGCCCTGGGCTACTTCCACGACTTGCCCCCTGCAGCACTGTCCGGAGGAGGGTAAGTACTGGCTTAGTTCTACCCCACCATGCCTTGTCACGGGCTAGATCAAGCCTCCCACATCACTTGGAGTCGTCTGTGACAAGATTTAAGTGTTTCAAAATATTGCATTTCCAGAGCAAGAACAAACAGTCCCAGTGTTGCGTAACTGAAAATGCATTAAATACTAGAGTGTTGTTATTCACTGTAAACAGAACATGAATACCTATATACAATGAATTGATTCAACATGCATCTTACCCACACTGTGATCTAACTTGGCAGTGTTATATTTTATAAATATACTTCAAGTAAGATTAGATGAAGTAATCTTTATTAGTAGCCTGTTAGCGACTGTAAGCTAGTACTTTTACTTGGAAGTCATCCACATTTACAATCTTGTTTATGAGTCGCTACACACCACCAGGAGATTAATGTTGCATCCCTTACATTCGGAATTCCCACTGCTTTGGGTCATAGTTTTCTTTCCTTGGGCAGCTTTTTTCCTGAAAGCAGTTTCTCCTGACTATTTCTGCAAAAAGCATCTGAGATGTAACCAGCATAGAAGCTGCACTTTTGGACCCACCTGTTTCAGACAGGCAGAGAAAAAGAAAATCTTGGAAAAAAGTTGTCAAGTGAAGTCACAAGAAAAGATAAGTTAGAAATATTAACTAACTTGACACTAATGCTCCCAAACTACCTCTGTTATCCAAGCACTGCATTTTAACATTTACGCATTTTAACTTCAGTTTTCCTTTGTTTCACTAATAAAGAAAGTAATATTATAAATGTGGGCGATACGACAGGAACTGTAAAATTACAACATCAGGTATATCCTCACAAACTAAGGATTGGGGAAGGATACCGTTCTTCCTCCGCATTCAACATTAATTCTATGTGAAAGGGTTGGGATGGGAAAGCGATGTTGCTATAAGAAGTAGTAAAACACAAGAATGACAGGATCAGGCTGTTTTAAATGTAACATATATGCTGGCATCATTCTGGGAATCACACCACATAGCCCTAGTCTTTGGTGCCAGGACTTGAAATCAAACAGAACAGCGTATCAGCCGTTCATGCTTCATACTCAGGATTTGGGACACGGGATTGTGGACAGATCACTTCCATCACACATCCATGACAAGCATTAAGCTGCTCTATAAGTAAGATCTTTGTTGAAAATTTTTCTTCTCCTGCAGCCCCGTAACTGGTAGAACCGAAAATAAAAATCTCCGCTAAGCAGACGAAAGTGTGCCGTCAGCTGTAAACATCTGGTGAAACTCAGAGCTTGTAGAAAACCCCTTGCAGTTTTATGAAAACTGACTGTGGCTCATTATTTTCTCAGATGCACCAGGAGCATCAGATCAAATGTCAAATTCACACTTTTAATTAACATTGGTTTCCACTTTTAAGAGACTACCTCGATACCTTTAGTGCACAGAGTCTCTGGCAAAACTCTAGCGAATAAAAAAACGCGTGTTTTAAAACATACATGGCTGCAGGATCAGATCCCTAAGGAGTATTTTAAAAAGTGTTCACAACAATAAAAATAACAAAACCCAGAACATTTGGATATTTAAGAAGAACTCTAATGGCCGTGTCCATTTTGGATGCAGGAAAGAGCTGTTTGTGCAGCATTACGCCATTCTGCAATCAGCAGCTGCAGATCCAATTTGCTGCTAAATGCAAGTTTATCTTACAAAGAAAAAGTAGATAAATTTGGGATGTTAAAAATTAATCTAGTCCAGTGATTACCACTAATTGCTAATCTGTTTCAGTACTTCAGATGCATAATTCAAGTCAACACCTCACTGGATAAGCTATTGCTGTTTACTCCTTCTCACTGCAAGAGAACAAGCTTCAAGTTTTGCTTTTTCTTTTTTTTTTTTTTAAATACTTAATATAGAAATGTAACAGTAATTAATATACTCATTCAGCCCCTCCAGCTCTTTTAGTCCAGCCACATAGTTCAAATTATGGCAGTCAAGGCTGCCTAGCAGCACAACCAGCCAGGATATTTTCTCCACTGCACAAGACAGCGGGTCAGGCTGTTGTGGAACAAAAAGCGACTCGGCTATTGCAGAGCTACGGCTGTGTTAGGGAGCAGGGATTTCTGCAGCAGTGCTCAGCTCCACACCAATGCCAGCCTCACCTCAGAGACAGAGTAATCAAGCTCAGGAGCCTTCAGTTAAATCCAAAAGGTCAGGAGCAACCCTTTAAAGGTCATTTAAAGGGAAGATCAATGGAGACCAGAGAGATATGGGTTTGTGTGGGCTTGTTGCCCGACTCCTCATCCTGCAGGGAGGCCACGGAGGAGCTCTGTTGGGACGGCGAACCACCAACAAGATGTGTGTGAACACCACTCCTCTTCGGGAGCTGCGGGGTGGCCCCGATCCCATCACAGAGCCCTTTTGCAAGGCCCAGTCCTGCAGGACGTTGGCCCTCCTCCACGCTCCCTGCATTCACCAGGACCCAAACCTGTCCTCTGGCACCAACCCCCCCCTCCCAGCAGCACCCCATCCCACCACAGGGGAGCTTCACACCAGGTCAAGGAAGGATGAATGCAACCCAGGCAAGCAGCTTCTTCGCAGATAAAGCCCTTCTTGCCTCTGCCCGGGCTCACCCCATCCAAATCCAATTTCGCCAAGCGCTAATGTGATGCTAAAAGCATTTACCGGGTGGGTTTGCAAGAGCTGCATGGGGCACTTGGGAAGATGGCCGGCAGGGTGACCGGGAGGGGACAGGCCAGCACAGCACCGCAGCCCTCTCAGGGCAGGCTGGCCGCTGACCGGCCTGCCACACGGCCAGGGAGAGGTGCCCGTGGGCACCTGGGGCAGAGCCACAGGTTTCATGCTGGTTTTTGGTTGTTTTTTTTTCTTTCTAAAAAAATGGTGGTTTCTTGGACTTTAGGGACGGGGGCAACAGCAGCTCCCCTAGAAACGCCATGGTCATCTGCTTGCTCCAGTCACTCAACCACACTCACATCCCCATAAGCCTACCATCTAGGGCGGCAGGAGGAATAAAAAAAAAAGTAAGAAAAACGGCATAGAGGGATAAAATTTTACATTATAAAAATAATACTTCACCACGAGCCTGACTCCACCAAGCGCCGGTGACGCCACGGCGGCGAAGCCCACTGCCCACCTCCCCTCGCCGGCTCACCTTGGTGTACTTCACCTCCAGGCTCCGCAGGGGCCGCGGCAGCGGCGGCACTTTCCTGTCAGGCTGCCCGTTCTCCACCGCGCCGTTGAGGGCGGCCATGGCCCCGCCGTCGAACCCGCGCCGCCCTCTGCCGCTGACAGCCCGCGGCGCCGCCTTA